TCGTTCGAAGGCATTATTTTTTCGTGCGTGGCCGTTATCGCCCGCCCGCTAGAGGCCGCCTGGTGCTGCCCAGGCCAACCGTCCCGAACGGGCAACAGAGGCCGGATGGTGACTGCAACGCCGGGTGCAATTTGCGGCTGAACATTTGTTGAAGGGAATGGGACGCATGCCATCGCGCACCCTCTCATAGATCACCAGCTACTGCGGAGGTCATATTAGCGCTCACGTGCCATGGAAAAACTCGGGTTTGAACCCGGCCCCCTAGGTGGGAGCAAATGCTTTAACCTCTCGGATGTTACACCCCCGGCGTAAGAGAGCGCGTGCTCAAGCTACTTGTTATTGCATATATGGTGTCCAGAGGACCATATTGCCCACTAGTACCCCCGCAGCCCAAGGGGCCCTTTCTGGAGACAGTGAACCCCTGAGGGAGGGACGGTCTGGATTTGCGCCCGGATCCTGGTGGCCAGGAAGAAACCACTCAACGGTCAGAGTGGCCCCGGGTGGCCAGATGGGCCCTCTGAGCACCCAGAGGTAGCTAAGGTACTCTCTGAGGTCATATTTTTGCGAAGAAACGCTTTGGACTATCATCATGCAATGGGGTCATTTTTCTTCGCCCTACGCGAATCGAAGACACCTCACTTGGGTCGCTGAACCTGCCGGACCCACTTTGAACCCTCCCAGCCCCCCCCCCCCCCCCATTTTGAGCTTGCCGAGGCCTGACGGAGTCTGTTCTCCCGCGTTCCATAGGATATCAGCCCTATGTTTTCAGTCCCAGCACGAATTTGTTACCGGTCGCCGATGTTTAAATTGTCCACCAGCGCTTACATTCATGTGAACTGCAGTGGCCCTGAATAAGCAAAGTATCTGGGGTTTAAGTTTTTTTCTTTGTCCTCGCAAACAGCAATCACCACTCTCGGACTAGACTCCCGGACTCTCCAGGCTAGATAAGCAACTACCCGGCAGCACATTCGCCATTCATGTCCAGCCCTTAAAAACAGCACCACAGAGAATGACTGGCGCCCATCCTCATGATAAGCACCTCATGCGCGCCGTCTCTCGTCGCAGCCCCCAGGTGCCACAACAGCTCAGCTGGCGGATGTGGTCAGAAGCGGCGCAGCGAAAACAAACCGCGCGCCTTGTCGACACGTCGCCGTCGGCTGCGACGGCGCCCCACCTGACTCGCAGCCAGCGCCAGCACCGCGCGGCCGCCACCAGCCGCCGCCGGCGGTCGTCAGCCGCTCGCCACCACCACTCAGCGGGCGTCAGCGGAGTGACGGCCAACAACGGCGCGCGAGCGCGTCGCCCGTGCCGTCTCGGAGGCACGTTATCCCCGGCCGTGTTCCGTCGGGTACATGACCGGGGGTTTATTTTTTCTGGCGGTCGGCGGTCGGCGGCCGGCCGGCCGGCGTCTGCTGGCGCTCCCCCGGGGCCGCTCTATCTCGCGGCCGTCTAGCCCTGCCGACACCTCCCACTCTGTATACACGACAGAGGCCGGCCGTGTACTGGACGGGGAGGGCCGGACCGCACCTCCCAGCAGCTCGGCCGACCACGGACCGCAGCCGGCCACAGATCGGCGACGCAGGGGCTGATGGAACGTAAGGCCGCACGCGCTCCGCAGGACGGAAGGACCGAGTCACGGGTCCGAGCGCGAGCTCCGGCGGCAGTCGATGACTCACGAGAGGTCAGAGCCGAGCCTGCATGCCGTGGATGCGGTGACATGGGTCAGAGATATATCGTCTTCACAGACGGCAAGCGCATCATGTTTCCCAAATGAGAACTAACAGGAAATGGTTACATCTGTCAGTAGTGCCGCCGCCTGACACTAACACACACCAATTTTCCAGACAGCATGCACTGCTGCTAGATGCCAAAGTAATTTATCATCATGACGCATGGTCCAGTATAGCCATCGGTATCCAATAGCCATTTATACGACACATATGTCGCGAGCTCACGAAAGACCGTACCATGATCTCGCTATCCCGATTACAGCATGCACTAGCTTCAAAACACGCGCCGAGGGGGCTAGTTGAATATGCCGCGCTCAGGTGGGGGGCAGTTTGACCCAGCCACTGAGATCTTAAAATCCGACATCTCAAAGGGCTAGAGACGCAGCATTCATAGGATAGGTAGACGTGTATATGAAATCACGCATTTCAAATTTTAGGGTCCCTAGGTCATGACCTTGGTATCAAATAAAGTCAAGCAAGTTCAAACTCCAGATCGTTGTCCAAAGCGCCCCGAGGCCTGCTCATGCAACCACGTTTGATCTGGAAACGTCTTTCAACGAAAAGGTCCCTGGTGTTCATTTAAAGTCAGTTACTTTATTTGGCCTGCAGAAGGTCATGGTGACCACGAACCTACGATATTTTTGATTCCTAAGTTTAGACAAGCGTAAATGTTTACGCTAGGAGGTGTACTCCCAACAACAAAGGGTTGATCTGGATCATTTCAGGTCAGTGACTTCTCATTTTCACCACATCCAAATAAGATGTCTATTGACGCTTCTGTGACCAAGAAGTTGAAATGAACACGCATATCTACTCAGACAAGCAAGTTTCCTATTTAAAAAATCAGTGTGGTTTTTGACTTTGGTCTAGCCTTCATACCTGACCCAAGAAGAATGTAAGTGATTGTAATTCTTAAATCCATGGGTGTCGATTTCTCAAAATCATTGGAGGGACGAGAGTAGAAGAGGAATCCGTCAAAAGTGTACAGGTACGAAAACTTTTGGGACTTGTTCACTTATTTTCTGACTAACCACGTTCATCATAGGATCACTATCGCATCATACGATGTGATCACATCATCATCATCGATCACATCATATGATGTGATTACATCATCACATCATATGATGTGATCATATCATCACATCATATGATGATCACACATCATATGTACACTTGCAGCATATTTTTAAAGCTTATTTGCGTGTTCAGAGCATGAGCGTATGAAGCCTTTGACAGTTTGCTTGCCTCTCTTGTCTATCGATATGTGAAATATGCGTGTACTTTACCAATGTGTGCGAAGATAATTCATTTATGCAGTTATTTAGAATTCACAAGCAATATCTTCGCTCAGCATAGATTATACTGCACCCCGTTTTATGCATGTTCGACACCACATTTTATGACAAAGCAACAGGCGTTTCAGTAATGTAAACAAGGCATAAGGCACTCCTCGACGCATCATTTGAGAAACTGGTCCTCAACTCTTTCCCAAATACGTTTGGGCAGATGTCCTTCGGTTAATATTTGTTTGCATTGCTCATTTCAATGAACAAGCAGTATGGGCTTGCAGGTTCGCAATGGAAAATTGTCCCGTGGAAGGGGACACTGTTTCTGGCTATTGTGCCTCTAAACGCAATGCCACCATCATCTGCTTCAGTTCCAACGTGTGGCGAACGAAGCGATCCCCGTGTAAGTGATGTGCGCAACGCAGGATAGGCTAGGCAGAAAGTTACGTTGGAAAAACTTCCGAGGTCAAATTTACCCCACCCGCCTGTGTCTTATTAGCTGAATTGCTTGCCTCGTGCGCCCTCCAGCTATCGCCAACATAGACAATAGACACCGGATGAAGCATCAAAGCTGTTTCAGCG